ATAGTTTTCACAATATAATCATTTGTTTGCAACTAACGCCGTCCATTGACTTTCATTGAAACTTCACTCTGCAAAGCTCAAATTTGAAGTGCAATTTCTAAACTGCGACTGTGCCTTCAATTTTATTACTTCAGAGACATACTATGCATCAAAATGTAGGTCTGGGTCTTGTGATTCACACAATATAAAGCTCTTCACTGTAGGAGTTATAGTTTTTAAGATACGACCGTTTGAAGATGGCAACCACCAAAATACTCTGACCTGTGTCAAGCTGCAGCAGCAAGTGATGTCATAGACAGGGCCTTTTGAACACCTGCTAATGTTTTTATAAATGTATGGTTTAATGTAACTGTGCAACAACGTTGCAATTAAATGTGCTGTATAAATGATAACAGTTACTCCGCCCACTCCAGTTGTAGACTACAGGTGGAGGCAAGAACACTTCACACAATTTCCCCTGAAATTGTAACTTTTCTAGTTTTGTACTTGATCTCGTTAATACTTTCTAATAGATCTGTCTCTGAATAAATCTTTTCGATTAATTTGTTTTTAAAAACATCTGCTTGTTCATTGAAGTTTTCTAGTTCAGTACAATTCCTGCGTAGACGTAGGAACTGGCTTTTTGGGGCACTATCAAGCCAGTGTGTATAATGACAGCTTGTTCTGTCAATAGCTGTATTAACACAGACCTTTTTAAAATAAGTTTTTGTGTGTATTTGCCCGTTTTTTACAAATATATTTAGATCTAAAAAGATAATTTGTTCCCTACTGAATTCATGGGTTAAAATTATACCTCTATCATTGGTGTTAAAAACATTGATAAAAGAAATAAGACTGTCTTCAGGCCCATCCCAAATAAAAAAAAGGTCATCAATAGGTCTAAAATATGAGACCATGTATGCCCTCAGATTGTGTCCGTCATAGATAGCTGTAGATTCCCAATCTGCCATGAACAAATTGACATAGCTAGGGGCAAACCTGGTACCCATAGCATTCCCTCTTTTTTGAAGGTAAATTGAATCAAGGAACCACAAGTAATTATTTTTTTAAATGATGTTTATGCCCTCTAGTATAAAATCTAACTGTATTTCAGTGATCCTATTTTCTTTGGTTAAAATATTTTTAATAGCTTTACATCCGATATTATGAGTTATAATTTTGTAGAGGGACTGGACGTCGCAGGTGACTAAGATAAAATTAGGGTTCCAGTTAAAATGATTTAAAACGTTTAAAAGAGACATTGAATCTTGCAAATACGACTTCATTTGTTTGACAGAAGGTTGGAGGAGAGTGTCTATATATTGCGAAAGATTACAGAGGAGGGAACCTATACCTGACTCTATTGGTCTGCCTGGGGGAGTTTGATCATTTTTGTGTATTTTAGGAAGAAAGTAAATGACAGGGATAATTGGAATTTTTTGTTCAGAAAGTTAAACTTATGTTTGTTTAAAATACCTAAATCCAGACCCTTGTTTAAAAAACCAGGTAATTTTTTTTGTAGGACCAATCTTCATTTTATTGTGTTTTATATGCACTTTTTATTTTTACTTTTCCTGTCATTTTTTACTGTATCCTGACTCAAGAAATCCCAGGTGGGGATCATTCCACCAGCGCTGTATTAATAGAGCAGTATCCTCTGCTCTACAGTTGTGAGTATATTTTATTTAAATTTATTTTACCCATCTCTTATACACTGAGAGCACAGATTGACGGACATCTCCCTACAGTATATCCTTTAGCGGGGATTATACAGCTAAACGCCCTTCATCCTAGAGCTGGCTAAAGCTCCCCCAAATGGGAGTGTATTACCTCCATTTTATTTTACCTTTGGATCTTAGAATACTTCACTATCGGCAGTTTGTTGTGTTTTTATTTTTGTCTTCACATATACGGATACTTACAACCCGGACGGATCAACTCCTGAGGACTGTACCTATACTCTATCCATGGAGACTTTTTATACAACTTTTTTATCATATTTTATCACCTGGACGGACTTTCTTTTATCTTGTTTCTGTTGTTTTAAGTGAGACTTTTTATCATTTATATAGGCCTACTTGTTGTTGTCTACCCATCTAGTCCATTTGGTCTGGTTTCTATTGTCATAGACTACTGGTTTTAACTTTTAGCGCAACCCTTACCCCTTTCACTTCCTCTATATCCCTGCATAACCTGGGTCTGAGCGCCCAACATATGTCAAAATCACTCAGATCCCACAAATGTAGCCGAAACACCACCGGGGTATAGTTTAGACCGACAGCACATGAGGAGCCTGCCCAAAAGAGTTCCATGAAATTAGGATGTGTGGTTGGCCTCTCTTGGGAGTGCCAAAATCGAATAAAATAGATGAATAAACTGTTCGTGTGTAGGCTCACCCAGTGTCTTTTGTTCAGGAGCTTGTTTTCACCGAATGCCGCTTTACTCAGATGAATAGAGGCGAACGTAGGGGTGAGTAGAAGTCTGAGCGGTGTTTGGGCCATCGGGTTTCCCATTATAGTTCCATTCACTCGACGACCAAACCCCGCTGGATGCGTTTGACAAAACAAGATTGCCGCCGCCTCGTGTTCGGCCATACGAAAAGCGGCCACCCAGCCAACCACTTAGAAAGTTCAAGTGTTTGGGGTTTAGGAAGGTGTTATAGAGGTCAAGTGGGTCAACAAGCAGCACACAACAGTTCTGGAGGGTCTAGGTGATCGGTACCTAGTTCATATTATACGAACTAAATGAGGCAATTTTGTTCGGTTGGGTTAGTATACCGATCAGTCGATGGAAATTCATTATTAATGGGACAGGGTGATCTGTTACACCTGTTGTTTCAGCTCCTACTTAAAAGAGACCACTTTAAATAGCCTACTTTCAAGCAAACTCCAGTGAGCAAGCTCTGTGAGTCAATATTTGGTTTATATTGGCAATTCAAATCCCACACAGGTGAAAATTAAGGGGCATTCCCCCTAATTAGCTCAGCAGCACCCACAAGGAGGGGAATATAAACAGCAAGAGAAAAAAAAGAGGGAAAAAGTTTTAAATAAAAACAGCACGTAGAAAATATAGATTAAAAAAGGGACAAGTTTAACCCCTTAAGGACGGCGGGCGTGGTATACCGTCCTTGTGGACATGGCTCTAAACGTTGGCGAGCAGCGGTAACCACCCTTGAATCATTAGTAGATAAGTCTGAGACGAGTTCCTGATCCGTGACTGTCGAAAGATGTCCAAGAAGGATGTGGTGTGTTTCTGAATTGTACTGCTCCTGTGCCAAGAGCTATGGATCGATCCGATCGCAGAGATGGGACCATCCTCTGGCATCCTGATTCAAGAGACACCAGGGTTCATCTTGACAGAGAAGAGGATCCTGACCCAACGTGCATTCGTCAGCTTGGACCCCAAGATTTCCATCGAGAAGGCATACAACATTTCATCGATGCAGCTTCCTGAGTTACAAACCTGGTACTAGATGCACCTCCAAAGAGCACAGGACTATGTGCGAACCGTCTTGGAGCAAGCCCGGAAACCTTTTGTATCCAGTACTATTCCGATGAGCAACAAACCCAAAAGGTTCCTCACCGTTATAATTGTTGCAGTTGTCGCAACTGGAATGTCTGCAGCCAACTCTATTACTGTCCAAAAACTGGATATGGAAATCTTTGCGCTAAAGCAGTACATTAACGATATTCATCAGGTGACAGCAAAGAACACTTCTCCACTACGTGTTAATTATTGTGGAAGACACAGTTGTTACAACAAATTTGCATTCAGAGTTAATTGCCAAGTCCACTGAGTTGCACCAAAGTCACGACTTATTTAACTGTAAACTTTTATTTTTGTATGATCCAATATTGTTCCACACACTTGCTTTTCTTGACGAAGTGCAAACCAGAATGATTGAATTGACAGGGGGACGCATACCTCTGTATTTCGTATCCAATGATATTGTTCATGCGATGCTTGCCAATGTGGATGGAGAGACAACTGAACCTATGCAACTAAATCTGGCCTTTGAGATGAGGAGTGCTCTACCTCTCTTAATTGACCCGGAACACATGGAGATTTGCTTTTTATTGGCCATACCGTATGTAACTCCCCCAAAAAAATTTCAAATGAAAACAATTTACAATGTCGGTACATGTAGGGAAGATATCCACGTAAAAGTTCAAACCCTAAATGTTTTGGCTTCTCTACCGTGGGTACCAGATTGGTATTCAATAACCATTTTGAATAACTACGAGAAATTCAAAGACAATAATTTCCAGTGTGATGGAAAACCTTTTGTGAATGATTCTACCAATGCTTTGTGTGGGATCGAGTACTTTAAACATGGTTCTGAAACATGTCAAGTAACTATGTCAAAAACCGACAGTGATGATTTGGTACATGCTATTTTAGTAAAAGATAAATGGTTGGTTAACACGTGTCTTAAAACATGAGTGTTTTTCGCACGGACCAGGTGACTAATAAAGTAATTGCCTTACCAGCACCTGTCTCGTATCCCCATCAGTGACGTTACGCTATACCCGGTGTACACTGACTTTGTAGCGGCTGGCATTGGGCTGTCCACAAAATTATGTGTTGTAATATGCTTTCGTTAAATTTTTGCCGTATGTATGTGTATTGTATGCAGCATTCGTCTGATTGTTCGGTAAAATCACTCCATTTATTATACGAGTGAAACTACCGAACAATTAGACCACCCCAGTAATAAGTGTGCCTCCAATTACCGTTCGCAACAATGTTGCAAACCCGTAATTGGCAATCAGTGCAGTGTGTGCTTTGTCCTCTGGGTGGCCGCCGTTCGGGAGACGAACACGTGGCGGCGGCCATCTTAAACTCCCGAACAGCGGTGTTTTGCCTTTGAGTGTCTGGAACTAAAATCGGACATTCGACTGGGCAAACACCGCTAAGACCTCCAGCCTTCCATAAATTCGTGCCGAAACTACCGAATGAGCCACCGTTCGTTAGAAAGAATAATGCAAACAGGGGGATTCAGACAAACCCTAGTATAGCCATGGATGACAGACATTTCGTGATTTTTATTCCGCAAACGGAGACCGACCGCAAGGCCAAAACTTATGGAACTATTTTCGGCTACTGTTGCCTGTGCGGTCGGTCCTAACTTTAAACCTCCATAACTCCTGAACCCCTGGTCCGATCTGGGTGATTTTTGAGTATGATACTCACCCAGTTTAGGGCTATCAGGGGATGCAAAATGTAGAGGTTGTAGCGGATGGCATTGGGCTGTCCTCAAGAATTCGTGGTAAAAATGTATTCGGGTAATTATTCCCATGTATAACTATAAGTGTATGTAGCTTTCGTCTGCTTGTTCAGTAGTTTTCCTTCCGTTTTCATACGAATGAAATTACCGAACCATCAGACCACCCCCGTGAGAACTGTGTACCTCATTAAGCTTTCACACTCTGTAACCGCAGCTTAATTGACAGTGAAATTGCTATTTTATGTGTATCTGTGTGGTCGCCATTCGGCATACAGACCGCATGGCGGCTGCCATCTTACGCAAGAAAATCTCAGCGGTGTTTGGTCATCGAGTGTCTGGAACTCAAATCGGACACTCAAACACCCGAACACCGCTGAGACCTCCAGAGCTCCATAACTCACGAACGGAGGGGCCAGTCAGCCCCTCGTTCGGTAAAATAAATGTACCGAACAAGGGAATACATATATATGAGATTAGCTGTGGATGGCAAGTATTTCTGTGTGTTTTAACTACCGAACGGAGACTGACCCCAGGGCCAAAAACACATGGAGCCTTTTCGGATACTACCTCATGTGCGGTCGGTCAAATTTCACCTTCCATCTAACTCTCGAACCCCTGGTCCGATCTGGGTGAATTTTGAATATGTTATTCACCCAGATCTGGGCTACAAGGGGGTACCCAGTATATCAGTCTATCTGCCTGTTTTAGGGTACATCCAGAAATCGGGGAAAACTACAGTATGTTTAATGGGATTATGTGTCACACTGAGGGGAGGAGATGTGTGGGAGGTAACTGTTACACTATTGGCTACTGTAATAATTACTGTGAATCCCTCCCTTGTATGGGAGAAAGGTTTAAAAGAAGGTTGTGTGATTAAAAGTTCAGTTCTGTTCCTGATGCTGTGTGTCGTCCAGTCATTGGGATCTGTATGGGGATATTCGTGGATTACCTTGCTTGCTGTGATTATTACTTGTTCCTGAGTGTGGCGAAACCAACCTCGCCACTGGGCATTGGAGAAGCCTGTTTGCCCGCCTCCTGCCTGCTGACTATGGCCCCTGGGAGATTTGGCCCTTTAAATACAGTATTTGGGCATATTGTATTTTATTATGCTGCTGCTGGCCCTTTAAGAACCATCTGGGGACATACTGCGGAGTTACTGGGTGGCCACCATTTCATGTATCAGAGGCACATGGTGAGAACAATGGATGGCGGCCATTTTAACTCGCAGACACTGTTTGGACCTTTCTACACGGTGCCGTCTCGCCGGTATTTGGTGCACAGAGACATCGTGCAGTAGTTTTAAACTATACAACAGGGGACACATTATACAGTAATTATTTTTCATATATTTTTAATCTGCATTAAACTCCATCTTCCAAACTACTGAACAGATCTGGGTGGATATGTAATTTTGGATATGTGGTTCACCCGGTTCCGAGGATATACGGATTTCAAAACCCTGTGGGCAATACTATGTTTGTGGATTGTGAATAAAAGAGGCTGCATGTGCCAGTACAGTCAGTACAGTCAGTTCTGCTTGACCCTCAAAACGAAGTGTCGTCTCGTTATTGGGGGAATTGGATTGTATGCTGATTGCCAGGAGTGTAAGCTGATTGTATGCTTTTCCTGTTCAGCTGCTTACAGCATTCGTAGGCTTCTCCGATTCGATGGTTGTGGTGTCTGCTGCAGTGCTTGGAGTCCTCAGGAAGCGCTAGGAGCATCCTTCAACGGAGGTACCCAGTCGGGGTGCCAGGTGATCCGCTACAGAGGTGTTCCCTAGGTTTAGGGGAACATCCAGAAAATGAGGAGAAATGTGTCCTGCATAATAAGGGGAGGCGATGTGGGGGTGGCAACTCATATATGATTGGTGTACTGTATAATTATTGTGGGTGTCTCCCTTCCATGGGAGAAATGCTTAAAAGCGGACTCTGTGATTAAAAGTTCAGTTCTGCTCCTGATGCTGTGTGTCGTCCAGTCATTGGGATCTGTATTGGGATATTTGTGGATTACCTTGCTAGCTGTGACTATTGTTATATGGGATTTTATTACTTGTTCCTGAGCCCACTGGGATCTTTAGTGGAGTTAACCTGTGAAATACCAGCTCTCCGCTACAGACGTCATTGAAAGTGCTACTGAGATGGTGGATCCCTTCCAGAATCTAGATATCCCACTAGATCTTAATCTAAAGTTCTTGCTAGACCATAAACCCAACCACACTATCCAAATGTCAATCAGAAAAGATAACATTTCTGTGGACACATTTAAGTACTCTGAGCTAGATAGACCTTATTGCTCGTGTTGACTGGTGTGGCGGAACCAGCCTCGCCACTGTGCATTGGAGAAGGCTGATTGCCAGCCTCCTGCCCTGTGACTATGGCCCCATGTTGAAATGCTGGATTTTCCCCTGCAAAGACCCGAAAGCCGGGTCATTCGGTACTTTCCCTATGTGAGCAGTGTTACCCCAGATATCTATGCCATGGAGCCCATTCGTTTAACGAAAGACTATGTAAAAAAGACTTTGGCTCCATGGCAATTGAGCTGTATGTATGTGATCTGAGCGCCATTCAGTAATAATTTGCCCTCAGATCTAAGCTATCTGGGGATAGGTAGAATGTACCCGTTTTATGCAATCGCTGCACAGTTATATATTTTTATGTATTTTATTGTATTTTGCTACCATGTGGCTAATGGAGTTTTGCCTCTGTCCTTGGAGATAATTGTATTACTTCCCAATTATCTCCAGGATAGAAGACTCTGTGGAACTGATTTTGGGCAGAAAAAACATTCTTCATTTTGTCAAATAGGACCTTCCTTTAACTTTTTCACCCCTGGACCGATTGCCCTGATTTTTGAGTATGTGTGTATTTCAAGCATGCAGATTTTGAAAATGTATGTTTTATGTGAATGGCATGTATATTTTGGAAGTTATTAATATTTTGTAAAAACTGTATTTCTCTGCCTGTGATAATTATATTAACCATTGTGTTCAGTAATCATATCACAGGCAGAAGGGAAGATTTTGTGTGGGAGTGTCTGTGTGTATTGTATGGATTGATTGGTTGTATTTCAAAACCCTGTGGGCAGTACTATGTTTGTGGATTGTGAATAAAAGAGACTGTATGTGCCAGTACAGTCAGTTCTGCTTGACATCAAAACGAAGTGTCATCTCGTTACTGGGGGAATCTGCTACAAGGGATTGCTATGCTAGTCATACTACCTTGCTATATCATTACTAAGCTCTTGTAAGAGCTTGTTCCTGTCTTGCTCTCTGGAGGAGTCTACAGTGGTTATGGTGTCGGCTGGAGTGCTTGGAGCCCTCAGGAAGCACTCGGAGCATCCTTCAACGGAGGTACCCAGTCGGTACCAGTTCATCCATGTTAAAATTGTTATGGGGTTTACAATGATGGTATTATGGTTGATTGTACTAAGTGTAAGGTTCAAAACTCTTACAGGTACCACAATATGCAAAAATTTTCATTATGCACGCACAGGCTTAACGCCAGAAGATGTGATAGGAATGCACAATATGTCTTGTAACTTCTTTAGTGCTTCTTCATAGATTGAATTAATCATTGCTATGTTAATCACTAAGGGGGGTATGTCAGTATATTTATACTGGCAGACATTTTGTGTTAAGACAGAAATTAAAAGTGTATACTGCCAGTCACCCTCAGAGCAGAGGTGATTCCATTTTGTATTACAAGGCTAAGACAGACGCAAAATTCTCTATTTGTAACTTGTGGCGAAACCAGCCTCGCCACTGTCCACTGGAGGAGCCTGGTTGCTCGCCTGCTCCCTTTAGACTATGGCCCGGCAGTTAAAACCTTTTATTTTCCATGCAAAGCGTATTCATGCCTTTCTGTAGACTGTTAAAGCCATGCTACCCCAGATAGCTATGCCATGGAGCCCAGCCGTATACTGAAAGACTTTGGCTCCATGGCGATTGAACTGTATTTATGTGATCTGAGCGCCATTCGGTAGTAATGTGCACTCAGATCTAAGCTATCTGGGGATATGTAGAATGTCTATGTTTTATGGAATAAATGTAACTGTATGTAATTTTATGTCTTTTATTGTATTGTTACTGCCATGTGGTTAATGGAGTCTTGCCTCTGTCCTGGGAGCTAATTGGATTACTTCACAGTTATCTCCTGGACAGAGAGGAGGGATTGTGATGTAAATGTGGGTGTGTTTTATGGTTCCCCTGTAACGATTGGTTGTACTGTGTCCCACCCTGTGGGATGTCCTCAGTGGCGTACACATGACCCATGGGGCCCCGGTGCGAAAATTGATCCGTGGGCCCCCCTCCCCCTCCCCCTCCCCCCCGCGCTCGCCGGGCCGCAACACATGGCGGTGGGCACCTGGTCGCAGGGGTTACAGGGCTGCGACCCCTGCGACCGCGGTATGTACGCCAGTGCATGCAGATGCACACACACTTAAAGGACCACTCTAGGCACCCAGACCACTTCAGCTTAATGAAGTGATCTGGGTGCCAGGTCCAGCTAGGGTTAACCCATTTTTTCATAAACATAGCAGTTTCAGAGAAACTGCTGTGTTTATCAATGGGTTAAGCCTTCCCCTATTTCCTCTAGTGGCTGTCCCATTGACAGCCGCTAGAGGCGCTTGCGTGCTTCTCATTGTGATTTTCACAGTGAGAGCATGCCAGCGTCCATAGGAAAGCATTATGAATGCTTTCCTATGTGACCGGCTGAATGCGTGCACAGCTCTTGCCGCGCGTGCGCATACAGCCGACAGGGAGGAGAAGAGGAGGATCGGAGGAGGAGAGCTCTCCGCCCAGAGGTGGAAAAAGGTAAGTTTTATCCCTTTCCAGAGCCGGGCGGGAGGGGGTCCCTGAGGGTGGGGGCACCCTTAGGGCACTATAGTGCCAGGAAAACGATTATGTTTTCCTGGCACTATAGTGGTCCTTTAAAGGACCACTACAGACACCCAGATCACATCAGCTCAATGAAGTTGTCTGGGTGTCAGGTCCCTCTAGTTTTAACCCTGCAGCTGAAAACATAGCAGTTTCAGAGAAACTGCTATGTTTCACTGAGGGTTAATCCAGCCTCTAGTGGCTGTCTCACGGACAGCCGCTAGAGGAGCACACTGAACGTCCATAGGAAAGCATTGAGTAATGCTTTCCCATGGGCGGTTTGAATGCGTGCGCGGTCGCATTCGGAGCTGAGGGATACCCAGCGCCAAGGGAGTCCGGCGCTGGAGAAAGGTAAGTGCTGAAGACACACACACTCTCACTTACAGACGCATACACACTAGCTAACAGACACACATTTACTGACAGAGATACAGTCAGCGACAGACATACATACACACTCACTTACAAAACATACACTCTCATTGACAAACACACACTCACTAACAGACATCAAACAGACTCAGTAAGACACACACAGTAACACACTCACTGACACTCACTAGCAGACACACACACTAACACTCATTAGCAGACACACACTAACACTCACTCTAACACTCACACTAACACTCACTCACACTAACACTCACTCTAACACTCACACACACTAACACTCACTCTAACACTCACACACACACTAACACATGATTTTTTTTTTTTAATATAATCCCCCCAGCCTCCTTACCTCTTGGAGTGCTGGGGGGGATTATTCCCTGGGGTCCAGTGGGGCTCCTGGGCGGGTGGCCGGTCGGGCAGGCAGGCGGGCGTGAGAGGGAGCACTCAGTGCTTCCTCTTCAGCTCCCTCGCGCGCCGCGTAGGGATGCCGGCGCCGGAAGATGACGTCATCTTCCGGCTCCGGTCATCGTGCGATGTGGCGAGGGAGCTGAAGTGCAGTGCTTTCCGCGCCTACTTCTCCCGGCTTCTCCGCAGGGCCAGCCTCAGGGGGGCCCTGGGGTGATCGGCTCCTGGGCCCCCCAGGGGAAGAGGCTGGCCCTGGGCGTACATACCGGGTCGCAGGGGGCCGGGCCCCCTGGTGGGCGGGCCCGGTCGCAGTCGACCCCCTGCGACCCTGGTATGTACGCCAGTGGATGTCCTCTTGCATAAAAGCCAGTGTGTGGCCATTACAGAGAGTTCCTGCTTAACCCTCAAAGTGAAGTGTCGTCTCATTATTGGGGGAAGGATTTATTGTATGCTGTTCCAGTTTGACTGCTAGGAGAGTAAACCTATTCGTATGGTTCCTATTCAGCTGTATACAGCATTCATATGCTTGAGAGCATTCATATGCTCCTACGGTTCGGTGGTTTTGGTGTCTGCTGCAGTGCTTGGAGTCCTCAGGAAGTGCTAGGAGCATCCTTCAACGGAGGTACCCAGTCGGGGTGCCAGGCGATCTGTTACATAACTCTACTTCATTCACGTCTTAGCTAAGGAATGTGACTAATGTAAACAAGACAAGAGATAAGGCATGATGTCTAAAGCAAAAGGGGGGTTGAATGCTATATATACACTGTGACGAAATCCACTTCGCCACTGGTTTTTGGAGGGGCCTGTTTGCCCGCCTCCTACCTTCTGACTATGGCCCCTGTGAGATTGTGCCCTTTAACAACAGTCTTGGGGCTTATGGACTTCTATTGGACTGTGTATGGCCCTTGCTAAACTTAAACCCCATGGCGATTCGACTGTGTTTGTGGTATCTGTGCGCTGTTTGGATATATTGAGCGCTCAGATCCAAGCCATCTGGGGATAGGTTGAATGTGGGGGTTCTGTTCAGTATGATAGGCGTTATGTATTTTTTTGTATTTTTGCTGTTGTGAATAGAGATATTTTCTACCTGGAGATAGTTGGCTTACCACACCCCAGTTAAGCCAATTATCTCCAGGATAGAGGACTCTGTGGAACTGGTTTTGGGCAGAAAAGCCATGCTTCAGTTGGTCACAAAGGACTTCGACCTAACTTTTAAACCAATGGAAGGAATTGCCTGATTTTTGAGTATGTTTGTATTTAGAGTATGCAGATTCTGAAAATCTATGTGAATGACTTTTAAAGTTATGAATATTGTGTAAAATTGTGTATTTTCCTGCCTGTGATAATTACGTTAGCCCATTGTGTTCAGTAATTATATCACAGGCAGAGGGGAGGATTTTGTGTGTAATTGCTGGGAGTGTCTGAGTGTATTGCACGTATTGATTGGTTGTTCTGCAAAACACTGTGGGCAGTACTATGTGTGTAAAATGTGCATAAAAGCAGAGTGTTGGATTAAAGCTTCAGTTCTTCTTCACCCTCAATCTAGAGTCCTGTCTCTTTTTGGGGGAATTGCTATTTCACTACAAGGGTTTGCTATGCTCTGCATACTCCCTTAGCTAATCACTACTAAGCTCTTTTAAGAGCTTGTTCCTGCTTCACTCTCTTGGAGGAGAGGTTCAACCACTGGAACCTGGAGCCTTGTCGCAGGTCCAAGGTGGGTAGGAGACGGCGAGATCCAAACCAAGCTGCGGTGGTTCGTGGTGTCTGCGGAGCGCTTGGAGCCCTCTTTAAGCGCTAGGAGCTTCCTTCCAAGGAGGTAACCAGTCGGGGTGCCAGGTGATCCATTACACCTGTGATCATGGGCGTCCGCAGGAATTTTTCCAGGGGGGAGGCATAATTGTAATGACATCCATGCTTGGTACCTTTTTGACAGTGTCATGAAAGGGAAGGGGCATAGCCATTATCACATAAAGCCAGGGTGAATAGCGTTTTCACAACTATGGTGTCAGGAATATATGTTTGTATTCCTGACACTATAGTGTTCCTTTAAGCAAATTAAAGAACCATTCTGGTCACCATAACAACTTCACCTAAATGAAAATGCTATGATGCCAGGAAACCCCTGGGTGCTCGCTTTCCTTTAAGGGGTTAAATTTCTCTCAAATGGTTTAACCCCAAAGGCTTCCTCCATCTCCAGGTCGCTCAGTGGTATTTGGCTTCTGAAACAGAGTGTCAGGAAGTGCAGGTTGACGTCAGGCATGGGTGCCGCTGATTGGCTAGAGTGGACAGTTGATGCTCTAAGCCAATCGCTAGTTCCCGGTTCATAAAATATTTTTACTTTTTTATGAATGGGGAGCTACTGATTGGCTTACAGTGCCAGCTGACTGCTCTAGCCAATCAGCAACACCCCTACCCAACGGCACTCTGTGCTTCCTGACACTCAGTAAATAAAAGTGAACATATTAATACTGATATTTTTTTTACCTTTGGAGATGAGAAGGTCCAGTGTTTCCCTGCCTGGCCCAGGTACCAAAGCCTTATGATGTGGTGTCCAGAATAAAGTGGAAGTTCACTTCATTTGTCCTTCCTGCTCCAATCTCCTTTTCCTCTCCTTCATTTGACAGTCTTTTTTTTCTTCTGACACTGTTTTCTATCCTTGGCCCCTTCTGCTCTTTTACCTTTCTGCTACTTTCTGCTTATTTTGTGCCCTTCTGCTTCTTTCTCATTCTGATCCCTTTCTGCTCCTTGCAGACCCTTTCTGCTCCCTTTTCTACTTTACCTTTGTGCTCCTTGCTGTCCCTTTCTGCTCTTTCTCCTACTTTACCTTTGTGCTCCTTCTGATTCTTTCTGCTCCTTTACCTTTGTGCTCCTTCCTGCTCCTTTGCAGGCCCTTCCTGCTCATTCTCCTATTTTATGTTTGTGCTCCTTCTGCCCCTTCCAGCTCATTTCTGACCCTTTCTGCTCCTTCTGCTTTACCTTTGTGCTGCTTTACCTTCCAGCTCCTTGCTGACCCTTCCTGTTCATTTCTGATCCTTTGTGCTCCTTCTCCTACTTTACCTTTTATGCTCCTTGCTGTCCCTTCCAGCTCCTTGCTGCCCCTTTCTGCTCCTTGATGTCCCTTCCTGCTCATTTCTGTTCCTTCTCCTTTTCTTACTTTACATTCCTGCTCCTTGCTGACTCTTCATGTAGGCTGTCTCCCCCATCTCTCACTTCCATAGGCATGCGCACAGGGTGTGTCGGGTGTGCCTGGGCACACCCTAATCCCCGCGGCACGCCAATGGATTGAGACCGGCAGGGGAGATCTCTGGATCTCCCCGGTTGGCTCATGAAGAGCCGACGCTATCCGAGCGGCGGCTCTGGTCTAAGCCTCCATGGGCCGGTGGGGAGATCAAAGTTCTACCTCACCGGTCCACAGCAGCATGGAGGGAGGCAGCAGAGAACCCGGGCTAGAGTTCACTCTCCACTGAACCACCAGGGAAGGCAGCAGGACTGGGATATTAACTAATCTGCCCCCACCTCCACCCAAACATACAGCACACACACACACACACACAGCACCTACACAAAGCACCTACACACAGCCCACAAACAGCACCCACACACATAGATCACCCTCGCACACACAGAACCCACACACATACAACACCCACACACACCCAGCACACTAACAGCATCCTCACAAACACACAAAACCCACACACAGCACACTAACAGGACCAGAACAAACACACACACACACACAGCAGTGTATATATATATATATATATATATATACACACACACATGGCGTGTGTTTGTGCTTTAGGGTGCACACCTTAATGCAATAGGCTGCGCACGCCTATGCTCACTTCCCTAATCTATAGGCTGCCCCCCCCCCATTCCTCACTCCCCTAATCTATAGGATGCTGCCCCCCCAGCCTCACTCCCTAATCTATAGGATGCTGACCCCCTCACTCCCCTAATCTATAGGATGCTGCTCCCCCAGCCTCACTCCCATAATCTATAGGCTGCTGCCCCCCTCACTCCCCTAATCTATAGGATGCCCCCTCACTCCCCTAATC